CTGGCTCGCTGCCATCCCAGCTCTGTCCTCCCAGCCCTGACATACATCGGCCCCATCCACTGCAAGCATGTGGGGCAAAAACCAACGGGCGGGAGGCTTCCTGGCTTCCTCTCTCTCCCTTCCTCCCACCCTCCCAAGTAAAGGCAAAACAAACAAACCTAAAAATGGCACAAATGCCATCTGATGCAAATAACAAAATAAAATTATAATGAAATCTTGGATTTCATTTCTTCTCTATCAGAGCATAAGTAAATTGTCTCTGGGACAACAACAAAAGCTTGCTAAACAAACAAAATTATTGATTATATAACCTGTTTTTGAAGGAATAATCATTGCTGAAACTGAATAATGCCACTATTTCCATACACTACTAAAAATGTTTTAAATTCTTAACATGTTGACAATTAATAACTCTGAAGAAAATATTTATACATTACAAAATTTTGAAAGATATGAAGTAGAGAAGCGCATAAACTTGCATATAAATATTTATCTGGATTGTAAATTTTATTCATCTAAAGCTATGAAGATGTGCTACTTTTAGTTGTAAATATCATAAGCCTGCTGCTAATATAAAATGATTTCAAAGTTAGTAAACCATTTAAAAGAAAACCGCAGCTATGGAATCATCGAGCCATCATGCCGATTGCTCTTAAAAACGGCTTTCCAGAGATGTTCACCTCCTTTCACTTTGACTAATGCTTTCTCTGTTGCTCCATTATCGGTATTAGAGAAAATACGCTTACATCTGATTACTGTACTCCTTTTATTCCCAAATAAAGTGATCACAGGCTAATGATTAAAAATATGTTAAGGTCAACATAATATTTGGTTAGAATTTGTAATATTTGAGTATAGCAACTGACATCCTTAAGAAAATGATTTTTTTTGGTTATACTGTAATTATCAAATATTTATATCCACTATATCCACTAAGAACTGCTTTATGAAAAGAAATAAAAAAGAGATTTTGAACATAATCATGTGATTTAAAGAAATAGCTTAGAATTTTAGAATGTGGTGAGTTCTTTTTTTTTTAAGGGCAACAATAGAACTATTTTACAACTGGTGTAAATAAGACATCCAGAGCTGATGCACTATTGTTGCAAAAAGCACTTATTCTATGCTTAGTAGAGATGAGTCTGTAGGTTATTTCCACACATGAGGATAATTTGAAGTAATAGAAATTCACTTTAATGTGACAATGCAAACAAGAGCAGCCCACAATATACAGCATAAGAGGCCTGTATTCGTTTGGGAAACTACAACTCATAAATGTAACGAAACTTCAAAAACTATCCCAAAACACCTTATTACAGAAAATGTTAAGATTTACCATTACACGCAAGTAATTTTCAAATCCAGCATCCTTTCTGTGCATAGTCAATTATTGGGTTATTTGGAAAATCCAAATGAATATCACTCATAAAATTGATAACCTCATGAAATGACTTCAAAATTTCAATTTAGTTCAATTTTAAAAATCGATCAATACCGACTATCAGGAATATCTTGATATCACTGCTAAAATTCAAGGCCTGATTTCTGTAAAGGGTTATCTTATCTTGTCTGATAGCAAATAACGCACTTTTCCCTTAGATTTCAAATAGAAATCCAGGTAGCCATACAAATTGTTCTTAATTTTATATTCTGACCTAATTTAGTTGAAAGAAAATGGAAAGACGTAGTGCTTTGCATGAAATATGGAACTATGAATTCATCTTAATTCCAGAAGGGATGGTTGCATTGAAACACGGACAACCTTTCCTGAAAATGCTCAGGCCAGCAGAACGCCCGGCAGCTGTTTAGATCTCCTGACCCAAGGACTTGGCGCTCCCTTTAAATATCCACAACGATGTCACTGACCTCACTTAGGATTTATCAGATCCCACTAAGTAGTTTTACACGGTTGCTAATCGCTGAAGTAAATATTAAAACACTTAATACACGCATGAAGAATTTTTTCAAATATCTTATTAAAATTAAAAGATTATTTTTTAGAATAACGCTTATGGGAACATAGCAGAATGAATAATGTCTTATCCATAAAAATGAAATAATGTTATTTCCTTTGTTTAAAGATACGATCATTACACAGTAACAGTGTAATAACACCTTGGGCTTTGTCACTAATTTCCCCTGATTGCTACCAATCCTTGATTCTGTTCATGGAAACAAGCACCTAAGGAAATGAGAAAGTCTGTCCATCTTTGTATCGGCCAGAAATCGGTGCTCCTGTCGAGTGCCTGGCTTCTCTGCACCCAGCCGTTTGCTTCTGGACAGTCTTTAGGGCTTCTGCTAATTTATAGAGGCTCACTTTATAAACTGTGGGGGTGGGATGCATCTAGAATATTAAAAAATGGTTTTATCTTTAGTATATGTGTCACCTTTATCATTTGCGTCTAAGTTATTTATTCCTAAGGAAATGAAAGCCTAAATTGTAAGTTATTCTGCCAGCCTCCTGCTCAAGAAGGTGCTGAACCAACGATTCAGGTAGATTAGTTGTCTCACCGTATATATATATATATATACATATATATATGTATATATATACGTATATATATATATATATGCATGGGATGTAGTTATTGATGAAAGTTTACTATTTTAACAGCAGGGTTATTTTACTAAATCATGTCATCATACAAACCCTGTCAGAAAACCTCGAAGAATCCAAGTATGTTTAGTTATCTCATTACCAAGAATAGTGTGCAAGATTCATATAATGCTATCAAATATTCAGCTAAACGTGTTGAAGGTGCAGAATGGCAGAATGAATCAAAAGGCTCGTTTTGAAAAACGAAAACAAAGAAATCCTTTAGTTTGGCGAAAAACAAACATGCAAAAATCTTAATAGAAATGACCATTAAAGCTCTTTATCACGGTATATTATGGTTCAACCTTCAAAAGAAAGTTAATTTAGATGCTAAAAGGTATACATGAAAAATGCACATTACCTTCAAAGAATCTGCAGTGAGATCTGCAGCTGATTTTTAAAAGATTTATTTATTTATTTAAGATTTGTTTATTTTTTTATTGGAAAGGCAGATATACAGAAAGGAGGAGAGAAAGAGAGGAAGATCTTCAGTCCGATGATTTGCTCCCCAAGTGGCCACAATGGCCGAAGCTGCACCCATCCAAAGCCAGGAGCCCAGAGCCTCCCCCGGATCTCCCACATGGGGGAAGGGTCCCAAGGCTTTGGGCTGTCCTCAACTACTTTCCCAGGCCACAAGCAGGATGCTGGATAGGAAGCAGGACTGGTGGGATTAGAATCAACACCTTTATGGGAACTTGGCACATGTAAGGCAAGGATATTAGCCATTAGGCTATCGCACTGGACCCTTCACTGCCTATTAGTGCTTCTTCTTTGGTCATTACCTTCTGCTTATCTCCAAAAGTTTAAATTCTTTCATTCTGAAGTCTTTTTCATTTACCTCTCACATTCACAAATCCTCTTTTGCTTTCACAATGAGATTATTCTTCACTTACTTAAAAGGTGGTATAGACCTTTCTATGTCACCTACCCCCTTTTATCTTGCAAATAATGGTTACTACCAATTGAAATTTATTGCGAGGGAACTAGCACTTCATGCTTAGTCTAACAAGCATTTGATGATAAACTGTCAGTCCTGGATTTCCTCCCCCTCTGTTTCCGTTTCTCCGTATACACAGTGAGTAAAAGGCTTTCCTCTTTCAGGAACATATTCTGATATTACAATACCCTTCTGGGGGATCAAAAGCAAAGGAATCATCCTCTCTCGCATCCCACCTCATAATTCAAACCAAAAATCTAATCTGATTAAATTCTAAGATCATTTTGATATCTTGCCTTAAAATTTAATTCTCAATTCTGTCTCTTACAAGTTATACAAAGTATTTGATACAATATTGTAATATAAGCTTCACATATCATGCAAAGGATTAGCATCTTCATGTATATGAATTTATAAAAATAATAATCTGTTTGAGTAACTTCCTTGATCACCAGGAAGCTAATTAATGCCAAAATGGCAGATAAATGATTGGCAAAGAGCTTTTATACCAAGTGTAATTTCTATCTCCTTTCCTACCGAAGGGCAGACACACATACACACAATGCTACTTCAGAATGTTCAGGGCCCAGCGCAATGGCTCCATGGCTAATTCTTTGCCTTGCGTCCACATGGACCCCATACGGGCACCAGTTCGTGTTCTAGCCACTCCACTTCCCATCCAGCTCCCTGCTTGTGACCTGGGAAAGCAGTCGAGGATGGCTCAAATACTTGCAATATTCCATCTGTTAGTTCAAAGCCTCTCGGTGAGTCTTCAAATATCACCATGTAAAGGTGGACATCGTGGTGTAGTGTGTTAATACCACTACCTGCAGTTCTAACATTCCGCATGGACAGTAGTTCATGCCTTGAGGGCACCACCTCTCACCCAGTTTCCTGACAATGCATGTGAGAAAGCTACAGAAGACGACCACAGCTGCGGACCCTGCACTCCTGTGGGAGACTGGAGGAAGCCACCAGCTCCTGCCTTGGACTAGTCCAGCCCTGACTGTTGTAGCCTTGGCAAGTGAACCAGCGCACGGAAGACATCTTATGATTTCTCTCTCTCTGTAACTACTTTTCAAAGAAATGTGCAAATCTTAAAATAGTCACTGTGTAAACAACTGAGTTATTCTCACTCACCACTTAGATTCATGACCCAAACTGGCCAACTATAGTTCCTACCCTAAAATGACATTAAAGTCAGTACTGCATAGTTAAAGTATTGTATTATAATCAGAAAAAAATAAAACAAAAAACCAGCTGATACTCAAATTTATGCCATTTGCCTCTGCTCATTTTAAAACTACTAAATCCGCTCCGTTTTGCACATATCACAAAAGAGCCAAAGACTTAAAATTCTCCAATTTGCCATTCCTCTTTAGAAACAGCTTGTTCTGTGAGATCAAGGGAACGCAGCAGATTGTGCAAAGCAGTCGGGAAAGGGCAAAGAGAAACGAGAGTACTCACGGAATGCTCTGTAGAATTCCTCAAGAGCTAGGAGCTTGTCACTGTTCACGTCATCCAATCTCAGCAGGTCATACAAAGTGCAATCAAAAACATCTTTCCCAAGTTCATCTTGCTTTATCACCTGACAAAGAAAACAACCATACCTTTATATCTGTATCTTAACATAGGCATATCGTTAATTATTTGTGCAAAGCGCATAAAAGCTCATTTGACATGTGAAGTTGGGTAAGGAAATCAACCCGTGGGGAAAAAAAATTGAGGTTAATTAATGGGTACCTATTTTTAACCCTTTCAAAGTTAGAAAGTCAAAACATACTTAGAATTGGGTGCAGACTCTCTAACACAACGTCTTACAACAATTCTGAACATCAAAAGAACATTTAGTATTTCACTCTTTGCTCCATTTACAGTGAGTCAAGAACACGTGCCCACATGAGAATCCCTTCTGTATCTCAATGACCTGTGCCAAAATAAAATAGTGCTCTTTCCCAACCAAAACAGCAAGACCGCTCGCGCCAACCTTTTTTCTCATATGATCGGAGAAAAATGCAGTTAGACTTTTCTACTCTGCCTAAACTCCTCCCCAGCTGGAAGTTAAGTCATTTGGGAATATGCATGACTCACTTGGTCACAAGAGTCATTAAGCAAATGACTGTTTCCAAGCGCCAGACAGAAGTAATGCACCAACTGATGATACAAAGCCATTCAAGCGTGAGTGCAAAAACAAAAAATCAGCTTTTTTTCTTCTCTGCATCCGTTCTCTTCACTGAGACCACCTTTTTCATTTTTATACTCTTCTGAGTCCAACTGTAATCTGTCATATATTACAGAGCTCCCCACCATTTTCCAGACACTCATATTCATTGTGGCTAACTGGTTAGCTATGTCCACAGAGTTATACTCTTTCATAAATTACTTCATACAGAGGTGGTAGTTCACATTGCTTGGAGCTGTGTATCAGATTGTTTTAAGGTGGTACAAACAGAAATCAGTCTCTTACAAGTAGATACACACCACATGCTTTCCCTGATATGTGGGAGCTAAAATAACAACAACAACAACAAAACAGCAGCAACAACAACAAAACAACAGCAGCAACAACAAAACAGCAACAACAATAAAATAGCAGCAACAACAAAACAACAACAAAACAGCAACAACAACAAAACAACAAAACAGCAGCAGCAACAACAAAACAGCAACAACAACAAAAAAAAAAAAAAACCCAAACAAACCTCAGTCTACAGAACATTATCTATCAGAGCTTGGAGGAATAGAAGGGTCGGAGATAATCTGGATTCAAAGGATGGGTGTGGTTCATTCATTTTGACCAATATACTTTGACCAGAGAGAGCTATCTGCCATCCACTGGTTCAGTACCAAAATGATCCTGATAGCTAAGCTTGGGCCACTCCAAAGCCAGGATCCATCTGATTTATGAATCAGGTTGCAGGCACCCACGTCCTTTCATCAACTTATTCTCCAAGGGACATGAGCAAGGAGTTTGATTGAAAGTAAAGCAAATGAGACTCAAAGCAACACCCTTGTGGGATGCCAGGCTCCAAGGCAGCTTGCCCTACTATGCCACAATGTTAGCCTCCAGAACAATAACCGTTACTGCAATCTGCTTCTCCCTCAAGTAGTCATGAAGGTCCTGAGACATGGCTTGTGGCACTACCGCTGAGGGGCACGGAGGCTTACCCTTCCTGCAGGAGACCAGTCCTCCAGAAAGCTTGATTACGTCAATGGAAGATTGGTGCGGCCAGTCTCTAGATTTGATTTGCATGTTAGCTAGATGTTTCATCTTCTTTAGAATCCCCTTATGCTAACAATTGGCATATTTCTGACTGTGGAGAGAGCACTGAAGGTGGGTGCTAGTATGGGTGTCCCCAGAGACCCCAGCACCTTCTGCAGCTCAGTCAGCAGTGACTGCCAAGGACAGCCACACACATCATCTGCTAAGAGATTCTCTAACACAATGAGTGCTCTGTACTCGTGTGTAGTATTAACATGGTACTGGGCAAGCCGATATATGTCATTTTAGAGGAGAAAAAAAAAGGCAGAGGGCTTATTTGGATTAACTGTTTCATATAAATAGACATTGTACATGACAAATATTAAGCCACGCACTCTTGCACAGTCCAGCTGGGAGGATTAACAAAATCACGTCAGGGCTGAAGCCATCTCTCCTTTAAGCCAAATGGGAAAAGAGAATACAGCTTTTGTATTTAGGAAAGAACAGAACTCTCAGTCGTTCTCCATCTGTTATTGGGAAGATCATGTACAATGAATTTTCCTGGGGGCTGGAAATGGGAGCTGTGTATTTGATATTATCTCACTACGTTCTCCCTAAAGATCTGTAGTGTTGGAACAGCTCTATTTAGAATGCACCAGCAGCAAGGTTCAGCCCCGTATTTTAACACTATTTCTAGTGGCTTTTATTCTTAGATTTATTCGTAAACAGAAATGTAGCAGGGTGGATAAAAAAAAAAAAAAACTTTCCTCATTTTCTTTCTCATACATATATATGTCCTTCTATGTCCTTTTTATTCAAATTGAGCTCATGTATTAGGCTAATACAGCTGCTTCCCATACTTTTCATGATTGGTCATCGTTAAATTCAACTAATGTGCTTTGAGTCCATCAATATGCCCTCGAAAAGTTCATGATCCTGTCTACTAAACTCCACAAAGAGAATGCCAAATATTCATGTAATAAGGGAACTAAAATTTTGAACTAAAATTTTGTTACCAAAAAAAAAAATTAATGCATGATTATTTTTATACTGCATTTTTACACAGAAATAATAAATAAACACCAGCTAAATACTAGTCATAACAGATTTAATTCCATTCCCTGCCTACTTTTCAAAATGCTCCTCCATTTGCAGAATAGACGTCATTTCTATTGTGCGTCCTAAGGGTACATGTTTATCTTGAGATGGAGTTGTCATGGTTGAATAAGGACTGTCATAGCTCAGGCAGGATTAGGGATTTTGTCATCATTATTATTATTTTTTCAAACCAAGCAATAAAATCAAACTTTCTTGCCCCAAAGTAAACTACTCTTGATAATACTCTGCTCTTATTTTTCAATTATTTATTCAATAAGCACTCTGGACTCTCCATTTCAGACATCATGAAAGTTAATTATTATATTTATGACATATTACACCATTCGCAAAGTCTCTTCAGACACGAATGTTACATTTTAAAATGCATCTTTCTATTCTATAGGAAATATGTTACCAATACACGTTTAAACTTTTATAAGAACTTAACTTTCAATATTAAGCTGCCCCGGGCGTATTATGAACAGCACTTAAAAACGTGTATGTGGAACTAGTTACCAATCTTACGAAGCCACAGCTGAGAGTACAGACTTTTAATTGCAGCTTTGGGCTGCACAGAAACCAAGCTAGAGGCCTTATCTTTCTCTGCTCAGCACTAATTATTGCTATTATGATTATCCTGAAATCTTTAGCTGCAATAAGGAAAGTTCCACTGCTACTCAGAATCTACCTACAGGCACTGGCGTTGCCATCCTAGCACAACACCTGGCCCCTGTTGCCTCATTTTGTGTTTTGGACAGACATAGGAGCTTTCAAATGCAAGGCACATGTATTCATTTCCTCCAGGGGATGATGTGTGCTTTATACTCTTCTATGTTAAACAGGATTAATTACCATGGCACTCTTTTGCTTCTCTCCCCCTTACAAGTGCTTATTTGTTTGTATTACTTTGCCCACATGATTTTTTTTTCCTGAGACAAAGTGATTTTTCCTAATCTCACAGTAAACAAATATGTTGACTCAATCACAGTCTTTTAAAATCTTTTAAAACGTAATAGGCTTTATCAACTCACAATAAAGATTAAATGTCCATTGCCTGTAGTGAGAGTTCTAATAACATAAAAACATATTTGATATTTACAAACACGGCAAAATAAACACTGACACACTTAAATAGCAGCATGTTGGACTGTTGCTAAAGGAGTATACCATTGTAATAATATGGAGGAAAGCAGTGGACATCAGACAGATGTATTTACGTACATGGGAGACCTGAGCTGGGCTAGTCAGTATCGACCACCACTGACCACCACCTATTGGCACACTGTAAGTTAGGGTTGGGGGGCTACCTGGCAGTACTATCGCACAGTACCCACCAGTGAGAGTCGGAACAGGGGATGGATAACGTTAGGCTGGGATATGACACCAACCAGCATGTGAGAGAATCAGGTCTTGGGGATGATTCTGTGGTGGATATGTGGGTCCACCCAAATAGAACTGTAATATTCTCTGATTTGCTCAAGAGCTGGGATGGGAGACAGGTCAAGCTAAGCATTATCATGGAACCTTCCAACATTTATGGGGTACTGTGATGGGAAAAGGCCTGGTTGGTCCAGGCTGCAGCACATGTAAAGCACCCAGGGATAGAGTGTTGGGCCAGTACACCCAATGGCCAAGACAGAGGGGGCAGATTATGCTGCATAAGGGCTTAGCATCCACTGGCATTTTTGAGATCTGGGGTCTGGAATTGGGGAGTGAATCAGTGGATGAAGATCTTTCTGACTCTTTTCTTTATAAATCTGATCTGCCTTTCCAATAAAAATAAATAAATCTTAAAGAAAATAGATGGTAAAAATTACCAAGGTGTGCTTTGGATATATGTCATTATAAGTTGAACTGTTTCCATCAAAAGATGCTTTAAAGTCGTAAACCCCGTAGTTGCAGAATTCTGTCTTACTAGGAAACAGTCTTTGTTGATGCAATTAGAAACCAGACTGTGGTCATACCAGACTGGGATTGACCCTGAAGCTGAAAGAGTCCAGGAGCGCCCTCCTCCAGGGATCTCACAGAGAACTTGGCCCTATCAACTCTTGATTCGACATCTAGGTTTCCAGAGTGAAAGCATAAATTTACTGTTTCAGGCATGAAGTATTTTTTATGACAGCACCAAGAAACTTAAATGCAACTGTTTGGACAGCACGCTGTGCACTGTTGTTCCCCAGTAATTAACAACCTTCCCTTTAGGTTTAGATGTGGGTTCTACAAAAAATAGATTCTGACCATGGTTTGCATGATATTAATGAATTAGCCCATTTTCTACCCAAATTTATATTCACGGTTAAGGGCAGAAACACAAACCATTTAAGGAAATAAGTTAGATAAATGCATCTGCGTGATGGCCATTTTCGTATTATCTTAATTTGGTTTCTTGTCTCCATTATTCTCTAAACCATGTATTTATTTTTGGTGAATTTTATTCTCTTCTTGTACATTTCCACTACCAACCATAATAAGCTTATATTCTCACATCCAGATATTACACTTTCTTTTAAACTAAGCTCAGTAACCCCCAGAGTGATATCTCTGTTTTGCTAAATGGCTCTTATAATAAACATGCTGCTTTTTAAAATCTCCTTAATAATATTGACATGTATCATTTATTTGATAACCTCTCAAAGAAATGCAACAGAATAATGTAGACGTAACAATAAAACCCGATTGAATATATTATAGTGGATCCTTAATCACTAACGTGTTCTTAGATATGTCAGATTCAATACCATCTCATATCATTTAGGTAAATGAATTGTGTTACAGATTTGCTCAATTATCAGTTAATAGTGTCTCTTAATATTGGAAAGCTAGCTTTATTGACTTAACAAAAATTTACAGCATACCTAGTCTCCCAAATATATCAGAAGGGATTTTACATGTTGTCTAAGACAAGAAGTTTGAACTTCTTTACATATTTTAATGATTGAAATCTATCAAAAACAGATACATTGATTTAAACTGTAAAATATATTAGTGCTATTTGACATTAGCATGGCTTTTAAGCTGTCAAATTTTAATCTTAAGATATTGTATTCCATGATTTTAATAATATGGTTCAAATTTATTATTATTATTATAGAATGATTTAGCAAAATAGAAATATATTGTGTTTGCTACATTTAATGAGGATTGTTGATATAATAATAATTAATCGTACCTGAGTTAGTTCATTAATATCTACAAGTCCGTTACTGTCTGCATCAAAGTATTTAAACATGTGATCCACCAATATCTTCTTCCGAGACACGTCATCGCTATTAGGATTTTCATTTTCTTGTGTAATGTATTTTTGATTTTGTAAGTCTAAAAGCATGCTTTTCATCTTGTTATATTCCGTAGTCTTGCAGTTACTACCTGTAAGAAAAGATTTGTTTTCAGTTATATTAAATAACTTTATCCATCATCATTGAGAAATTGTTATGCGGACAACACACACTCTACATAACTTTTCCATTTATGATTTTGTGTATTTAACAATATGTACAAAGAAAAGGAGAGTAAGATAGAAAACTCTCATTCTGGTTAAATTTAAGAGCAACGTGATCGTCACATAGCCAAGGGAAAGACGCTGGTGCCAGGAGAATCCAGCTAAAGACGGCAGTTCCTATTACACCAAGAGTCAGAATGCACTGTGCTTGCCTGAATCCTCCCCGTGCTGCACAGGCTCATGTTAGCCCAGGGGCAGGGAAGGCAGTAAGGGAGGGAAGTGAACGACTCAACATAGCGGCTCCTTCACACTTCCATTTATTTAAATCTGATTTCATATTGGATATGATTTGAGATTTTTACATGCACACATTGAATAATGTTCAGTCAATTAAACATGTTTAGCCCTTCAAATATTTGGTATTTCTTTACAGTGCAAGCATCCAAAATTCAATCTTCTAGTTTTTTTTTTTTTAATAAACATAGATTAAAAAGAGTGTCCCAGAGCTTTTTTTTTCTCCATCTAACCATAATCTAGTGCTCGCCGATCAACACTTCCGCATGTGTTCTTAAATCTGTTAACCACCATCACAGTTTTTCACTTCTACATCATTTGTTTTTCTGGACTCTATACAAAGGAGGTCACATGGTATTTGCCTTTCTTTACAGTTTATTTCATTTATCGTGACTCTCCCTCATTATATAACATTTTTCAACGAAATAGCTTTAGCTACCTGGATTCATTTTCTTTTTTTAAAGCTTCATTTCTTTTTATTGGAAAGTCAGATATATAGAGAGGAGGAGAGACCAAGGAAGATCTTCCATCCACTGATTTACCCCCCAAGTGGCCACAAAAGCCAGAGCTGAGCAGATCTAAAGCTAGGAGCCAGGAGCCAGGAGCCTCCCTAGGGTTCCCCACGCGGGTGCAGGGTCCCAAGGCTTTGTGCCGTCCTTGACTGCTCTCCCAGGCCACAAGCAAGGAGCTGGATGGGAATTAGAACTGGTCTTCATATGGTATCCTGGCACGTTCAGTGCATGGTCTTTAGCCCTAGGCTACCACACTGGGTCCTGGATCCATTTTCAAAATATAGAAAGATAGATACAAACACACACACAATCAATCTATGAGAATTCCTTTAGAAGTAAAATACTTAAGTGAAAAATATATTGTTGATAGCAAATGTAACAAACTATATTACAAAAAGTACAGTACATAATGTAATTTTCACATGAAACCATGAGTACTATATTATTGCCAAAAACTTTTCGCAGCACTTTTTTTAAGATAGAAAAACTTTATTAATGTAGTCAGCTGTGACAATTAGGCTTAGGCAGTATACACAATTTAAAAACGTCTCTAAAGATATTTCAGAAAATGTCTGTGAGGCGTGCAGCTGAAAAACAGTGTTTGAAGCCTCATTCTCTTTCAACAAAAAAATGGAAGATGAGAGATGATCGTATTTTTCCAAGACAGCGAGATGATAACTGTTGTTCAGCAATTTTTGTGTTTAGCAATTCTGCCAAGAAATTCTTTCCTTACGATGAAACGTAAACTTTGGGCTGTAGATTAAGTCAATTTTGTATTATTCTGTTCTCACTGAAGAATAATAAGGATATGCTTTCATAATAGTGGAGAACTCACTGCCAAAACAGAGAAGTGATCAAGGCAGGAATCCTGTCTGGCAATGTGGGGGGTCTGAGAAATCCACATAAGGGGCATGCTCAAATAAGGTGTGGTTACTAAATAAATGCACCTTGAAATGATTCCCAGATTTGACCTTTTGGTGAAACAGAAAAAGCAAGATTTTACCTTTCCATATACTGCAAAATATCTGTCACTTATTGTTTTAATTATCGATAATATTCACTTCCTGATTTTTTAAATGAATGCTTAAATAGCAAAGAAAAATGGATGCATTCAATAATCCAATACTGTTTTGCTTTATTATGTTACATCTAGCTCTCCTTAGACTCCACAGGATAACATGTAATTATATAGCTTTATTAATTATAGCTCTTATAATTTGTACAATTTTATAAAATGTATGTCATTTTATAATTTTATTAATGACAGCTTTGATCATGTATGCCTACTGACTGTCATTATGTGTGATTTTCGTGTTGTTTAGGCTTGATTTCCAACATATCTGGCTATGTTCAGCAGTGGCCAGCAGATTGCTACAAATTGCCAAGGAGAAGTTTCCATTGCTGAGAGCAAGACTTTCTCGGGTATCTCCTTCCAGCCTTCATTGCCTTTAAGGTATCCTGCTATTGCACAAATTACAGATAGCTGGAGGCCGTGAACATTAATTCCTTTCGTTTGGTTTGCAAATTAATGCTGACTGAAAGAGACTCATTAACTTCTCATTTTTTGGAAAAATGCAGGCTTATGTGTTTTTGTCGGCTGATCTCCATCATCATTTATTCCACATAAATTTGTAACTGTTTTCTGTCTTTGAACTAACTCTAATATCTGACCAGTTTTTATAAATGCTGAGCTAATTACACTTTCAATGTGTTCGTGTTGTATCATATCATAGCCATGATTTTTGCGTTAAAATGCTGTCCTTCAGAACTCCAAACACACGATTCCTTCTCCTCGGAAGAGTGATTTAAGAGACGTTCAAATTAAAATGAAATGATGAACTAATTTTATTTTAGTTATTTAGCAGGCAAGACAATCGAGAATTAGGGGCGAAAACACTTGGGAATAAACTTCCATCTCTGGGCTACTCCTCAAATGGACAGAATGGTCATGAGAAGGCCAGCATAAGCTAGGACCTGGGACTTTATCCAGGCCTCCAAAGCAGGTGGACAGGGCCTGAGTCAGTGGAACATGTGCAGCTGCTTGCCCAGGCACAGAGTTGGGACCTGGATCAGAATCAGATGATTGCTTCAGACAAATAGTATGGAATCGTATATTACAAAAATGTCCATAAACTCACATAGGTAGATTTCAACTCAATGGACTTTCAGACTTAAGAACACACAAAGAAATAATACTGGAAATAGAAATTAAAAAATACCTTTTATTTATAACTTTTGCATTTCTTATAACCATGGAAATAAGTATTAAAAAGAAATGTCTTATTAACTAAATTAATAGTTCACATTTTTTTCCTAAGGCTTATTTATTTGTTTTTCATTGGAAAGGGAGATTTATAGAGAGAGAAAGAGGAAAAGCTCTATCCACTGGTTCATTCCCCAAGTGGACACAAGAGCAGGATCAAAACTGATCCGAGGGCAGGAGACACAAGCTTCCTCCAGGTTTCCCATGCAGGTGCAGGGTCCCAAGTCTTTGGACCATCGTTGACGGCTTTCCCAGGCCACAAGCAGGAAGCTCGATGGGAAGTGGAGCAGCTGGGACATGAACTGGTGCCCACCTGAGATCCCAGCTGTTGCAAGGGGAGAATTTAGCCACTGGGCCACCACACTGTGCTCAATATTCCACATTCCTAAATAGTTTAGGTCACCAGTTTAATTAAGTAGTTATTTTATTATTTTTTTAAAAAAATATATATTTATTCTTGATTTGGAAAGCTGACTCACAGAGAATTGTTTGGTTCTTAGATGGCCGTAACAGCCAAGACTGAGCTGGTACGAAGCCAGGTGCTTCTTTCCAAAAGGGTGCAGGGACCTAAGAATCTGAGCCATCCTCCACCAATTTTGCAGGTAAGAATCTGGGAGCTGGATCAGAATTAGAGCAGCTGGGGCACAAACTGGCTCGCAGGTGGGATGTTTGTGCAATAGGCTGAGGATTAGCTTGTTACACCATAGCGCCAGCCCCCTGTTTTACTATTTTTAATCATTGCAATAGCACTTGGAGGCTAAAATTCTATCCCTTCCACATCGTAGTTAAGAAATAAATGAACAGGTATTTTGCCAGGCCATACAATCTATAGAAATGCCAGAATTGCTCCTATACTATTTCCCGAAGATAACAAAATTTCACTAGATTGAATTTGACAGAATTTTGAAATGATTGGAGTATTCAGGCTGAGGTTTGGGAAGCCTGCACCCCATTCTGATGTGTCTGCTCTGAGTCCTATCAGCTCTGTTTGCCCCCATGGAATTCCTCTCATGTGCACACTGGGAAACAGTAAATATCGGGGTTCCTGCACTCACAGAGGGGAACTCTGGTCCAGCTTTGGCTGTTGTAGGCAACTAGAAATTAAACCAGCAAACAGAAGACCTCTCTGCTTAGCTCGCTCTGCCTCTCTATCTTTCAAATCAAAACCACATATATAGTTTTTTAAAACGCGAAACATTTGTAACAGAATGGTTCCGACTTTATTGTCCCTTTCCACAAACATGTGCACATCTGAGCGTATACCACTTTGTAGACATAACCTGGCAAGCAAATATGGTCTTTCTTGAAAGAAGGAAGTATTTTCTGCTTCTCAGTATGTAATTGCAACTGTATCCCACAGTTCCCAGTTTGAATGAGGAACCAGACGGACTTGAATCTCATCCGTTACTGTGGCTTTCTGCATCTGTACAACACACAATGCTAGAATAACTGTTATTTTTTCAATAATGTACTAGATAGAAAACTCGACATCATGAATTCTAAAAGGAGCTGTTTTTCATGAGGATACATCCAATGTTTTACACTATCCTATATCTTATTTGATGTTGTTCTTCATATGTATCGTAAACAGGTAAACAATAATACTAAAGTAGAGATGAAACTGTGCAAACCCTGCTTTAAAATAGTTATTAAGGAAAATATATATATCAGGCAGAGAGACAAACCAGAAATGTAATTTTAAAGGAAGTGGTGTCATGCTTAGCCAATATCCTTCTCACTTCAGGAGGTCTTCTTTCTGAATCTCGTGACTTTAACATTCATAGCATGCCCATTGCACTGACATTCTCCGGACAGGAGCACCTGAAGCTGCTGATGGGTCCCTGTGGGTTTGTAATCA